TGTGTAGCTTTGTGCCTTTCCTGGAACTTGCTTTGGAGACCAGGCTGGCCTCGAACTCACAGAGATCCGCCTGCCTCTGCCTCCCGAGTGCTGGGATTATAGGCGTGTGCCACCACTGCCCGGCAGGGTAAATTAAATGATTGAAATACCTAGAGTTTGTGGAGGAAATAAATGGCAGCATGGAGAACCTTCCAGAATCTGTGTTCATTGTGCTGTGTGTATCTGCTGGACAAGATGAGGCTGTGGGAGCTGAGTGTGAACAGGACTGTGCCCAGGTGGAGCTCAGTCCATTGTTGGCTGTGACATGGTCACTCCTCAGCTCTGTCACCTCCTGGCTCTCTTCCCTTCATCACTTGAACCACATGCTGAGAGTCTGTGATCACAGGGACACTGGGATGACAGAGCCTTGTCCTGTCCCCAGGATTGTGAGCAGCCAGGGCTGCTGTGACAGGTCAGCCTGGGCTCTGACCTGGCCATGGCTCTTCACACCGTCTTCTCTGTTTATTTCTTGTCTTTTTAGTTTGTATGGAGGACTAGGCCTGTTCTTGTTCCTGTGATTATTACCTGCCTCCTTATTCCTTGGGGTCCCTGAGTGACAGCATTAAGAGGTGTTTGTCCATCTTTGTCCCCCAAGGCCAAACTAAGCCACTGCACTCAGGAGACTGTGGGCTGAGGACATGAACTTCAGTCTCCTGAGCTCCTGCCTCCTTCCAGGCCCCTCCCTGAGGTTCTCTCCTTCCCCATCTTTCAGAATCTAACCCGGGTTGTAGGATGGGCAGAGAGGAGGGATCCACAGGGTCTCATCTCAGTCTGTCCTGTTGGAGCTGGGTTCTGCCCAAGGTCCCCTCCCCCTCCCTGGCTCTGAGAATCCTGGTGCTGCCCCCAGTGGTGACTCAGGGATTTATGGTTTGAGTCTACATTACATTTATGTTTATTAAACAAACAAACACAAACCATGGTCTAGAGACTGCAGAGATGGCTCAGGGGATGAGAGCATTTGCTGTGCTTGCCTGGGACCCAGGTTCAGATACCAGCACCCACATGGTGGCTCATAACCATTCATAACTCCTGTTCCATGGCATCTACTACTCCTGGGGACACCATACAGGCACCTGGTGACATGCATGCAGGCAAGAAAATACTTATGTAAAATTAATAAATCTTTAAAAAAATAGATTGTTGGAATGCCAGAGATGGAAATTGCTTCACCCCTGCTCTGGTTCCAGCCCCTGCAGTTTTCTCTTCTAGCTTTGTGACCTTGAGTCGGGAGCTCCAGGAGTTTAGCTGAGATGTTTGAAGACCAAGAAGGTGACAATCTCTGTCATGATGCTGACATCTTTGTCTTGTGAGGGATGAATGACTTCCAGTGCCTGGGACCCAGCAGACATTCAGACCCAATAAATGTTTGATGAATGAATAAAAATAAACAGGATCATGGATCAAAGACAGAAAGGCAGGTGGAGAGGGAGGGAGGGCTTTGCTGAGGGGAAGCTCAGGTGACTCTGACCTCAGTGTGAGGGGACCTGGTGCTTCACTTGACACACCAGCATGTGGCCTGAGGTTGTATTAATCAAGGGAACTTCTGTAGAAGAGGGAGGTGAGGGTGTGAATTTTCCTCTAGACTGAAACATCCCTGCTGGAGCCAGGAGGGGCTGAGGAGGCTCAGGAAACACAAAAAGCCACAGGTTCACAGAGCTGACACAATGTAGCGCTTCCCTCTCAGGGTTAAACCAGCTGCAGTTCCTGAGGGAGAGGGGACTGTTGAGTGGAGCTGCTGGGAGCTGTGCAGGGGACTGCAGTGATGCAGCTGGGTGAGTGACATGCACACTGGGGTGGGCAGTTCAATGGTTATCCCCGACTCACCCAGGCTCCTGTGAGTGACCAGTGAGCTCAGGGTTCACCAAGTTGACCCTGGATGGATGTTTTCCTTGGTCAGCTGTCACTGTCTCCATCTGGGGTGGAGGAAATCCACTCCTCAAGCAGGGGACACAGCAGTGTCCCTTGTGATCAGCTCACAGAGTCTGTTCCAGATGTGAGATGAAGTCCTGTTTCTAAGACACACTGGGGAGTGATAAAGAGTTGCTGGTCTCCTGGAGGAAGCGCTGTGGTGGGAAGATGCCTGTGATACAGTGTAAGGGAATCAACATGGATAGGTTGTGTGGGGAGGTGGAGGGCAGAAGGGAAGGTGTCCAGAGTGCAGGGGAGGAACAGAGCAGATAGCTATTGTTTTTTAAGATTTATTATTATTATTGTTATTGTTATTATTGTTATTATTATTTAGTGTGGCTTACTGGCACATACCTTTATTCCTAGCACTTTGAAGGCAGAAGCAGGTGAATCTCTGTGAGTTCAAGTCTAGCCTGGTCTACGTATGACACCGTCTCAAAATTTATTTTTTTAATTATGTGTTTGTGTTAATTACTGTTCTGTTGCTATGATAAAACACCATGACCAAAGCAACATTTAAAAGGGTTTCTTTGGCCTGCAGCTCCAATGGATAAGAGTGCATCACGGCAGGCAAGCAGGGCCAGAGCTGCAGACATGGCAGCTGGAGCAGGAAGCTGAGAGCTCACAGCTTCAGTTACAAACAGGAAGCAGAGAGAGTGAGATATGGAGGCAGATGGTTTGACTCTCACAGCCCCTCCTCCCCAGTAACACACTTTCTCCAGCAAGTCACAGCTCTTAAACCTCCACCTCCCCAAAACAGCTCCACCAACTAGGGAACAAAGTTCAACTACCCAGCACTATGGGGACATTGCTCACGGAATCCACCACAGTGGACATGTGGTATCCATGTGTTTGTGGTCAGAAGAGGTCAGAAGAGGGTGTCAGATCCCCTGGGTGTGGGTGCTGGGAAGTGAACTTGGTTCTGGGCAGGAGCAGAAGGTGCTCTCAGTGTCTCAGTCATGCCTCCAGTCCTAAATGTGCTGTTTAAATAGGTGTTCAGTGTGGTGTCCTTCAGAGGGTGACACCTGAGGAAAGTTTTGAAGATCATAAAAAAACAGTTTTTAACTTCTTCCTTTCCAATTTTTATCTTATTGATCTCCTTCAGTTGTCTGATTTCTCTAGTTTAAACTTCCAGTCCAATATTGAATAGGTATGGAGAGAGTCGACAGCCTTGTCTTATTCCTGATTTTAGTGGAATGCTTTGAGTTTCTCTCTTTTTAATTTGATGATGGCTGTAGATTTGCTGTGGATTGCCTTGATTATGTTTAGGTATGTCCCTTGTATCCCTGATCTCTCCAAGACTTTTTATCAAGAAGGAGTGTTGAATTTTTAAAAGCTTTTTTTCATCATCTAAAGAGATGGTCATGTGCTTTTTCTTTCAGTTTGTTTATTTGCAAGTATTTTGATGAATTTTTTTGCATCTATGTTCATAAGGGAAATTGGTCTGAAATTCATTTTTTTTTTGTTGAATCTTTGTGTGGTTTGGGTATCTGGGTGACTGTGGTCTCATAAAATGTTTTTTTTTCAATGTTCCTTTTCTTTTTATTTTGTCGAATAATTTGAGGCATATTGGAGATAATAATTCTTTGAAAATCTGGTGGCATTCTGGGCTAAAAATATCTGGCCCTAAACTTCTTTTGTTCAGAGACTTTTAATGACTGCTTCTATTTCCTTAGGGATTATAGGTCTATTTAAATTATTTATCTGTTCTTGATTTAACTTTAGCAAGTGGTATCTATCAAGAAAATTGTCCATGTTTTAGATTTTCCAATTTTGAGGAGTATAGGTTTTTAAAGTATGACCTAATGATTCTTTAGATTTCCTTGGTGTCTGTTATTATGTGGCCCTTTACATTTCTGATTTTCTTATTTAGATATTTTCTCTGTCTTATAGTTAGTTTGGATAAAGATTTGTCTATCTTGTTGATTTTCTCAAAGAACCAACTCTTTGTTTCATTGATTCTTTGTTGTTCTCTTTGTTTCAATGTTATTGATGTCAGCCCTCTGTTTGATTATTTCTTGCAAGCTGCTCTTCTTGGAGTAACTTGCTTCTTTTTGTTCTAGAGCTTTCATGTGTGCTGTTAAGTTGCTGGTATGAGATCTCTCCAGTTATCTTATGTAGGCACTTAGTGCCATGAACTTTCCTCTTAAAACCACTTCCATAGTGTCCCACTAGTTTGGGTATGTTTGCATTCATTTTCACTGAATTCTAGAAAGTCTTTCATTTCTTTATTTCTGTCTTAACCCAGTTGTCATTCACCAGAGAGCTGTTGTCATGAGTTTGTAGACTTTCTGTTGTTATTGAAATCCAGCTTTAACCAGTGGTGGTCTGATAGGTCCATTTGGTTTATAACGTCTGTTAGCTCCAGTACTTCTCTGTTTAGTGTTTGTCTGGTTGACCTGTCCATCGGTGAGAGTAGACTGAAGTCTCCCACTATCAATGTGTGAGGGATGATGTATGGTTTATGCTTTAGTAATGTTTCTTTTACAAACATGGGTGCCCCTATGTTCAGGGAATAGATGTTAAGAATTGAAACATCATCTTGGTTTATTTTTCCTTTGGTGAATATTAAATGCCCTTCCTCAACTTTTTTGATTAATTTTGGTTTGAAGTCTATTTTGTTAGATATTAGAATAGCTAACCCAGCTTGCTTCTTGGGTACATTTTCTTGGGATATCTTTTTCCAACCCTTTACTCTCAGGTAATGCCTTATGGAAAGCCCCCAGTTGCCTGCCCCATTGGGTTTTATTCCCAGAGCCCAGGGGAAGACACCACAAGCAGCTGGGATCTAAGCTGAGGGATAGCGAATGAATTTATGTACACTGAGATCTTTTAGTCCATTCAGTTTATTTTTCTAAGTCCTTTCCACCAGTGCTGTGGGGGTATTGGTTTACATACACTTACAAA